TGTATATTAAATAGGGATAAAGTTGGAAAGTTGCTATATTTTAATGAAGAGTTAATGCAGTTTAAAATTTTCTTGATCTGTGTAAAACTTCTGAAAGTGCCATATAAAAGGATAGAGGAGTACATGTTAAACTTAGCTGGCAGCTCTCTAAGTGACTGAATCACAATTTTCTCTCTCTGACTTTGCAATTCACCTGCTCCGCTTTTTTAGGGTCAGTGATCCCATCATTCTTCTCTCTCTTCCCATGCACGGCCCAATAGAAGCATCTGACATGTTATGATTTGTTGGGCAGTGGATGAATAATGGGTGCACCTGAGAATTTTTTCAGCTTAGCCCCGCTTGCGGCTGCCAGGGTTGGAAAGTGGTTTGTTAGATTGCAACATTCACTCCAATCTTTTTTTTAAATAATATAAACTTCAATTTTTTAACCGGATTCTAATAAAATAATATTTTAAATATTTTTATATTTTTTTAGTCAATTTAACTAATTTTGATATTTAATACTAGACTTGAAAATTTAATCAATTTATATGGAAAAGTAGTACTATGACTTAGAAATTAAAAAAAAAAATCATTTTTTATTTATTTAAATATAACAGGAGGAGGAGGAGTATAGCTGGGCTTTTGCCTTGTAATTAACTAAAGCCTAAACATAAATTGAGAATTGTAGTGAAACTTCTTATTTCTTAGTATGTATTCTTGCAATCTAACAAAAGCGACATTTTATTAATACTAAAAAATGAATACAAAGCATCCAAAAGAAAATGGAACACTGGCAGCCAGAAAACAGTCCAAAAAAAAGGAAACAAAAACAATCCAAAATACAAACAGAGCAAAAAAAAGTACCGAGAAAAAAACAACTAAAAGAAAATTGGGAATAAATTTCTTCTCATTGAGAATTTAATTGGTAAATGGTACATAAGAACTTTGTGCAATTTAACTTTTTTAGTGAACAACTTAAATTCTCTTGTGTGCAATTCTGTTTTCTTGTGTCACACCGAACTTCTCATATGTGTAACCCATTTTCCTTTATATGCATGTTATCATCATTATGTGCAAATTTGACTATTATATCCAAATAATATTTTGCGCAAATAATCTTTCTTATATACAACTCAATTTCCTCCGTGTGCATTTTATTTTCTTTTGTGTAACACATTGTGCTAGGAACCACTTCCTAATTAATTTTCTAATGAGGAATTCATCACCAATTTTGCCAAGAAAAAAACAAAAATAATCTTTGAAAAATGTATTACAACATTTTAAAATATATTATTTCACATTAAATATTCTTGAGATTCTTGAGAAATCTAGGATAAATCTTCATTTGCAAATTTCCTAAGGATTGTCCTTAGAACTTTGTGAAGGATTGGGTCCTTCAAGATCGATAAATTTGCTCATAAAATGATCCCAAATGATCACAAGGTCCTTAGTGTACCTGTACATGTACAACTGCTATATCTCGTTTATTAAAAACATCTCCCATGGTAATCACCCTTCCAATGTAAGTATATATTTTTAGATTTTAGTACAATATCATCATGTCATGTCTGATTAATTATAATTACGTAAAATATCTCTTGCAAATCTGGTCCTTGCTAAAGATATAAAACCCAATCCCGAGGACAACCACCATTTACCAGTAATTTAAATACAACTTTCTTATACAAAATGTAAAAAAATAGGCCGCACCATGCATAATTTGCGAGGAACAAAAAATCTGACCAAACACTGTGTCGGATGAGATAGTGGTTCAAAGTGGTTCAAAGGTAATCAAAACAATCATATTAAAATAATATCATTTAATTGAAAATAGAAAAATACAACAACATTAACAATCATTAATAACAAAATACTACCTCCAATCCTTAATATAAGAGTCTATTTGACTTTTAGTTTGGTTCTAAATATAAGACCCCAATCCACTTTGTCTCTCATATTTATACATTTTTTTCAAAGTAGCCCTTCTAACAATGATAGTCATAGTCAATACACTTGATTAGCAAGGATATTTAGGAAAAACAACACCTATTTGGGACAAATAACTAACTCAACTTATTTTTTAATCTCCTCAAATTAGTCAACTAACTCTTATAATTAGGACCAGAGATAATACAAAAAAATATAACAATAGTTTGATTGTAACAATAATAAAGCACAACAATATTGAGAATTTTGATATTTTCAATTATCCAATAATTAAAATTAATAATCATTGATACTAAAGTCATTATTAAAATTTATTTAAATCTATAGTGATTGATATATTAGGAGCTCATTCAAAAAAAGTAAAACCATAGTAACATAATCATCCAAACTAGTTTACATTGATTTTCACCAGTTCAACTTCTGGCCAGTTCAATACTCAAATCTGATTAGACTACTAGTTCACCAATTTTCTATTTAAATTGGTCGATTTGGTTTGGTTTTTTTAATATAACTTTTTATAATTTTTATCTTATATTAACATAACTGATAATTGTTGATATCACAATTCTACTTATTTTAGAAATAAGACAAAACTTTCAAATTCAAATATTTTATATTAAAAAAAAGTACGTATCATTATATATACTCTACTCAATTTTAAATATAGAGTTAGTTAAAAAGTGTGTTTTAGTTCTAAATTATAATACTCTCCAACCACTTTGTCCTCCAAATTTATACTACACCGAGTATTTAATATAGGAACTAGATATCCAATTCAAGGATATTACAATTTTTTGGTTAAATTGGTTGATTTGGTTTTTTTTTTTTTTAAATATAACTTATTATAATTTTTATCTTATATTAATATAACTGATAATCGTTCATATCACAGTTCTACTTATTTCGGAAATAAGACAGGACTTTCAAATTCAAATATTTTATATACAAAAAAAGTACGTATAATTATACATACTCCACCAAATTTTAAATATTGGAGCTAGTTAAAAGGTGTGTTCTAGTCCTAAATATATAATACTCCTCCGGTCCTTAATATAGAACCCAATTTTTGAGTTAGTTTTGGTCCTAAATATAAGACCCATTTATCATATTTATCAATTTTCTCTAAATTACCCCTATAGATATTCTCTCAACCATAATCAAGTAGAAGAGAGAGGGGGTATTAAGAAAGATGATTATGATGTTTTAGGAAAAATGTGTCACTTTTCTTATAATTAACTAACTTACCTAACTTCTTTAATCTAATCAAATTAGCTAAATGGGTCTTATATTAAGGACCGGAGGAGTACTCTCCATTCACTTTGTCCTCCAAATTTATACTACATTGAGTTTTTAATATAGGAACTAGATATCTAATTTTAGAATATGAATGAGATTAATTTAGTTAGTTATTTATCATAAATATGTATTGACATCCCTAAACTATTTTTTTAGTCATATGCATTGGAATATCCTTTGGTGGAACCTCTCACAATTAATAGAGATATATTGGGGAAAATGAGAGGTAAAATATATCAAAGTCTTACATTTAGAACTAAATTTAACCTTCAATTAACTCTCATATTAAGAAGGATGAGAGAGGTAGTTATATTTTCTCCAAATTATCTTTATTAATTGCACTTATGAAAAGCGTTTCTATGAATAACACAAATGATTACAAGAGATATTATAAAGAAACCAATACAAATATTTTACAAATAACTAATTTAATTAATTTTTTTAATATACATTTGTTTTTCAGCTCTTGTAGCTCCTATACAAGAGAGGAGGGAGTAGAAGAAATAGAGAGAAAAGAGACAGTTGAAGATCAAATGTAATTCTCACATATATTTACATCCACTATCAATTCATTCTACAAAAATGATATGAGATTTACAAGTTACAGCATATTATAAGCCATCTCAGGCCCCAACATTTCATAACACAACAAAAATCTAGTTAACTATCATTATCATTATCTAACCTACTCTCCCTTTTGGAATTCTTTAGGAGAGGAACAGCATCAAAATGACCAAAATTCATTTCTACATAACCACATGGTTCTTTCAAGCTGAGCAATATATTCAGAACCTCCTTCATAGAAGGCCTACCAGCTGGCTCTTTGGCTGTACACATCACCCCCAGCTTGAAGACACTGCACATTTCCTCTAAGTATGAAGTTTCCTTAACATCTTTGTCTAGAACTTGTTCTATGTTGTTTCCTAGTTGAATCTGATGCAATGCCCATTCTGCAAGAGACGAGTGCTCATCTCCATAGTTAGCTTCTTTTCCTGTTGTCAGTTCCAGAAGGATAACCCCAAAGCCATGTACATCAACCTTTTCATTCACTCTCTTCGTTTGAGCATATTTTGCACATTCAATATGTTTTACATAGCATTCATATCAGTTTTGTGCAGTTTAAAAGGAAAGAAAACTAATTTGAAACTAAGCATTCCTTATTAGTCTTTCTGTTAGGTGACTCAAAAGGTGAGGGAAGGACTAACAAGCAATAAATTTGTGATTTTTGTAGACTAAACTGCATATTTACTAATTTTTCTATGATTACACCTAGACACAAAGCCAAGGACCAAATAGTTCATTGAAAACTAGAAGAGAAACTTAATCTATGAGGACTTGGTATTTGTTTTTGCCAACACTTGATCATTTTTTTCTCATCAAGTTCTTGTAGTATCACATTATTCTAATTAAGTCTCTGCAGTTTTTTTTATCAGTTATCTAAAATTACAGGATTTGATAAGAAATCATGTGAAACTAGAAAGACCTGATTAAAAAAAAAGACGATAAGGACCTTACTATAATTAAGTGAAACTGTAAGGACCTGATAAAAAAAATTACAGAGACTTAATTAAAAATCAAATGAAACTATAAAGACCTAGAGATTAATTTTCCCAAAGTAAAATATAGGCTCATGCTTTGTATGAAATCTAAAATAATATCACTCACAGCATATTAGCAGTACTACTGCCTATTATATATAGATTATACATTTGACTATTTGTGGCATTATTTACCTGGAGCAATGTAACCAAAGAGCCAACCACACATGACATGGTATCAAGTTGTCCTGGTTTGATCAACATCTTGGCAAGACCAAAATCTGCAACTTTTGCATTGAACTGAGAATCCAAGAGAATGTTGCTTACTTTGACATCACGATGAATAATGGGCGGTGAGTTATCATGATGCATGTAGCTCAAACCTTGTGCAATCCCAATGGCTATTTGCAATCTCCTTGGCCAATCAAGAATAATACTATAGACTGCAGATGACAAACCCAATGAGCCATTCTTCTTGTGCAGCCACTTATCAAGACTACGATGTTCCAAATACTCATATACAAGAAGTAAAGAATCCTCATTAGATATACAACATAGTAACTTCACTACGTTGATGTGACGAATAGTGCCTAAGATTTCAACTTCTGCAAGAAATGCATTCTCAAGCTTGTGATCTAACTTCCTGTTATTGCTTATCTTCTTCACAGCAGCATAGTCTTTATCATTGACAGCGACACAGTACATTGTACCGTACCCTCCTCTGCCTATGATGTTTTGGTCTGTCAAGGATGAGACAATCTTTGATTCTGTGGAAGTTAGCTTCTGGAAGGAAGTCAACTTCCATGAAGTGTCCAATTCTCACTTTCTCTTTTGGTAGAATTTCATCATGAAAAGTGATAACAAGGAAATTGCTATGGAGGCTACTATAGCAAGGCCTATGATCAAAGCAAGAGACACGGATGAGCGTTTGCTTGACTTCTGAGGAACAGAAACAGAATTGCACAGTTTAAGGTTTAATCCATCTGTGCTAGCGCAAAGGCCAGGATTGTTCACAAAGTTGGTGGCATAAGCAAGATTTTCAAATTCACTAGGAATCTTCCCAGTCAAATGATTAGAGGAAAGGTTGAGATCAGAGTTTCTTGAAAGGGCTAGTTGAGATGGAATTTGGCCGGATAATTGGTTTTTTGACAAATCTAGTAGTGCAAGGTGAATCAAACGAGTAACTGAATCTGGGATTTCCCCGGAAAGTTGATTTTGGCTCAATTTTAGAATTCTCAAAGATTTCCATGATATGATTTCAGATGGAAGCGGCCCAGAAAGTTTGTTCTGATCAAGAAGCAAAGTTGCAAGCTGAGAAAGACTGGTTAGCTCTTGCGAAATACTTCCATTAAAGAGGTTGCCACTTGCATTGAACACAACCAGATTCTTCATGGAAGATATTGCTGCTGGAATTCTACCAGAAAACTGATTGTAACTAATTACCATCTGTGAAACATTCACAGGCAATGTTTCAGGAAGCTCCCCTGTGAACTTATTGTCATTGATCATTAAAGTTGACAAATGCTGAGATTCCCAAAGGCTGCTAGGAATTTCACCAGAGAGCTCATTGTTATATACCTTCAACTCGAACAAGCTGCTACAATTGCCTAATGATTCTGGTAATTCCCGACTGAGTTTGTTGTGATAAGCTGTTAACCAAAATAAACTGCCATGGTAACACAAGTTCTGAGGAAGACCACCAGTTAAACTGTTTGATGCAAGTTCAAATCTTCTGAGGCTTGAATGGAGCCCGAACTCTGGAGGAATGTTGCCAGATAAATTGTTGAAGAAGACGCCAAAATCTATTATGCAAGGGTGGAGAGGAAAAATATGTTTTCTTCTCATTTTCTCTCCATATATGGAGAGAAAAGTTGAGAAGAAAATAGACTGTGGGACCTATTTTATTTTTTCTCCAACTTTTTTTTCCTCATCCAAACAGGAGTAAAGCCACTTCTCCTCTTATTTTCCTTCCTAGTTTTCCTTCATTCTTTTTTTTTCCATCCAAACATAGCATTAAAGCCAGAAATATTTTGGATTTATTTGTGAACAGGTGACTTCGTTTTTCTTTCCACTCCCTTTCATTCGAGGGACCAAAAAAAAAAAAAAGCTAACAACCCATTTGTGATTCCTCAGCTGCAAATTTTCTGCGTCCGTTTTTACTCATAGTTTTTGAATATCGGAACTAATTAAATACTATACTTAAGAATTAAATAATTTGAAGTAATTAAAAAAATAATAAATTATTTTAAAGTATTTATATTTTTTTATTTTTTTAAAACTAATTTACCTCGCTTATAATTTAATATATAATCTAATAAGGCATATAAGTATTTTAGAAATATTATGTGACTTATGTTATAATTAAGTAATTTAATAATTTTTTTAATTTTAAAATTATTTAACTGATTCTTATATTAATTATTAAGAACCGGAGGTAGTAGTTTTTTTCTTAAATATAAGATTTTAATCTATTTTATTATTTTGTCTTTCATTTTTGTGATTTTTCTCTAATTAATTTATTTAATTTATAAATTGGTAGATAATATAATGTTAAATTGGAGTATTTTAGGAAGATCATGCCAATTTGTTAGTTAGTATTACATTTTTCTAAAAACTAATAAATTGATTGGAAAATTGTTTAAACATCTCCTATTGCAAATTTATTGTCCAATGGTATTTAGAAATTCAGGTTCGACTCTTCTACACTTCTGTATGTCATATTTTAAGCTATACAAACAGTTGAAAATATGTTGTACACATCGGAAGAATAGTTGGGATTAAAAATATGTTGTAATTAGCTTTTTAAACAAATTTCAAACACATAATGCGGAGTTTTGTTTTAACAATTTTCTTAAATTAATCAAGGGATGATATCTAAAGCGTTCCTTTTTTAATAAATAATATGATTTTTCTTCTTATTTTGTCTCTAAATAAAGCATTCGATGATAAGAAAGACTCCTAATTTCTTCATCCATCAATCTGGTTTTTCAAAACCCAGGACCAAGGTTGATTAATCCGAAGAATCGTGCATGAGAATTATGGAAGAAAATTAATTATTTTGAAAAAAATCTTGAATTTAAAATTTACAAAGAATGATCAATATCTTTGTAAAATCCAAATGGATAAAATTTCCCTTGCAATTAGTGACATGGTTAGCTTGTAAATTTCGGAAGATTAACCGTAATTTTTAAAAGATTACTTGCAAATCAGTTTGTAAATTATGAAATGGTTGCAAGTAATACAATACCATTAGCCAATATTGGATTTCGAAGCCGCCCTTGTAAGTTGTGATATCTAACGAGGTTATCTAGCTTAACTAAATAATATTACTTTAATTAATATTTAATTCACTATCAATTAAATTAGTTTTAACTAAATAGAAGAACATATTTAAAATTGATTTATCCAAAACGAACATATCTTATTAAATTAAATTATTATAAGTGATTGAAAAACATTCCTAGCATCCATCATAATATCATCATGAATGGAATCATTGATACTGTAATTTAAAAAATTAAACATATATATCCTCAAATAAGTCCAATCAAACTATTTATAAGGGAAAATAACACTTTTCAGATTCTAAATTATGTTATAAAATTATTTTTGTTCGGCAATTGGTTGAGACCAATGGTCTCCGCCACAATGCAAGGACTCAGGCATTAGTTTTCTCCATCGCAATTAAATGATTACGATAAGTCTACTCCTGAACAAGACACTTGCTGCCAGAGTTGGAAATTGGTTTGTTAGATTGCAGTATTCTCTCGAATCCTTTTTTTAAAAAAAAAATATAAAATTCAATTTTTTAAGTGGATTGTATAAGGTACACTTTCAAAATGTCTAAATATTTAATATATTTTTTAAAATTAATTTTATGTCTCTCTTATCTCTGTTTTTCTACTCATTCTCTCTTTCACTTAGGGGTGCTTAAGGCCGGTCCGTCCCGGTCGACCTGTTCTGGTCCTGGTCTTATTGAGACGGGAAGGACCCGTCCCGAAATTTTTCAGGACGAGACAAACCGGGATGAAACAGAAAAGGGACCGGGACAGGACGGGACACGGGAGAGGATCATCCCATCCTGGTCCCTTTTTTAAAATTTTTTTTAAATTTTTATCCTATTTATATAATATCATTTCTTTCATATTTTTTTAAGATTTGAGACTATTGTATGGAACTATGGATATATTTATTTAAAGTTTTTATATTTGTTGATGATTTGAGATTATTGATGATTAGAATTTTTAGCAAGTTTTTATTGTGTTAAAAGCTTTTGTTTAGAGTTTTTAACGACTATTATATGTAATATTTTGGACTTTTATTTAAGAGTACCCAAACAAATAAAAAAATAAAAAGATGTTTTTATAAGGTCTAAGCTCAAAAAAATATAATTAAAAAAATCTGATTTTATTTTAAAAAAATTAAAAAAATTAAAAAAAAACTTCGAGACATTCCGGTCCCGTCCCGATCGGGATCAGGACAACAACGGGACGGGCCGAGACACAGGACAGATTTTCTGTTCTGTTACTGTTCATCGGGATGGAACCAGGACGGGCCTATCCCGGTCCCGATTCGTCCCGTGAACAGTCCTACTTTCGCTCACACTCTCCATAAATAAAAGTATATTTTTTATATATTTATTGTTTTTATCAATTTTAACTAATTTTGATATTTAATACTATGACTTGAAAATTTATACATTTATATGAAAAAGTTAGTACTATGACTTAGAAATAAAATTTAAAAAAAAAACATCTTCCTTATGAACATGACAGGAGGAGTATAACTGGGCTTTTGCCTTGTAATTGATCAAAGCCTAAACGTAAAGTGGTAATTGTAATGAAACTTCTTAGTTCTTAGTTTGTATTACTACATTCTAACAAAAGCAACATTTTATTAATACTAAAAAATGAAGAGTTCACTAATCCGCAAGTTTTTATAGTTTTAACCAATTTTGAATTAGATTCCTATAGTTTTTTTTTCTTTTTATCAGGTCTTTATACTTTCACCTATTTTTAATTAGGTTCTTACATTTATTTTTCTTTTTATTAAGTCCTTATAATTTCACTAAATTTTTAATTAGGTTCATGTAGTTTTAATTTTTATTTATTAATTAAATATAAAATTAATTAAATAGAGTAATACTGAAATATAAAATATTAATAATTAAATTAAATTAATAATTACATAATAAAAATAAGTAATATAATTAATTCAGGAAAATTTTTGAGAACAATTAATTTTTTTGCTGAAAAAATAAAATTATTATAATAATTCATTATTTTTAGAATATTATTGTTTATAAACTAATATTAAATAATATATACTATTTTATGTTTATAGAATAGTACTATTAGAATTTATAAAATAAAGAATAAAAAAGTCAGGGACTTAATTAAAAATAAGGTGAACTTATAGGGACTTGATAAAAAGAAAAATAAATGCAAAGACCTAATTAAAAATAGATGAAAGTATAAGGATCTGATAAAAAGAAAAAACTATAAGGATTTGATTCAAAATTGGTTGAAACTATAAAAACTTCCAGATTAATTATTCCAAAAAATAAATATAAAGTATCCCAAAAAAATAGAACAATAGCAACCAGAAACACCAAAAACAAAAAAAGAAAACAATTCAAAATACAAACAGAGCAAAAAAATATAGAGAAAAAAGAACAAAGAAAAATTGGAAATAAATCCCTAATTGAGAATTTAATTGGTAAATGGTACCTAAGGATTTTGCATAACTTTTTTAATTAAAAAAGGTTTAGATGAATTGAGTCTCATAAACTCACCACAATTAGAACATGTCTTCAGGTTTAGAAAGCACTTATAAATCATTCACTAACAAAGTGTTTATATTGACAATGAGATTTAGGGGTGTTTGGCAACCCTCAAATCACAAAACAAGACAAACTCATCTACATATTTATTTCGTAAACTGTAAAGCACTTCTGAAATCATAGTTTGGTTTTGATCTAAATATTTCCTTAAACTCATAATTTTATAAGTTATGAATTGATTTCTTATCAACTAGATCAATTTTTATTAATGATATGGATATAGTTAATTATGAAGCAACTTGGGCTTCCAGATACGTTTGATGTCAGCGAACCCAGATGACCGAAGCCCACAAGTTTGGTGAAAGTCAAGTAGGGAAGGAGCGCGTCTTTGTTGAAGGCATCACGTTGTAGGAATTTCCACCGTGAAAAGAAACAAAAGATGTCGACGCAAGGGAGGTTAAGGGGGGCCAGTGGAAGACCTTGACTTACGAAAAAAAGCCAACAGCCCATTTATTATTCCTCGGCCACAAATTTTCTGCGTTCGTTTTCCCTCAGTCTTTGAATATCGGAACTAATTAAATGCTACTATACTTAAGAATTGAATAATTTGAAGTGGTTAAAAAAATAATAAATTACTTTAATATTTTTATATTTATCATTTTTGTTCAAACTAATTTGTCTCATTTATAACTTAATATATAATCTAATAAGGCATATAAGTATTTTAGAGATATTATGTGACACATGCTATAATTAAGTAATTTAGTAGCTTTTTAATTTTTTTAAATTATTCAAATGATTCTTATATTAATTATTAAGAACTAGAGGTAGTAGTTTTTATTTTAAATATAAGATATTATCTATTTTATGATTTAATCTTTTATTTTTATTATTTTTCTCAAATTAATTTATTTAATTTATAAATTGGTAGATAACATAATGTTACATTGAGGTATTTTAGGAACATCATGTCAATTTGTTAGTTAAATAACTATTAGGAGTATTGCATTTTTCTAAAGACTAAAAAATTGATTGGAAAATTCAAAATTGCTTAAACATCTCC